GCTGTCTCCAGGTATTGCAATGTCCACTATCCAGACTTTTTGTCTTTCTTATCAACAGTTGTTAAGTTTGGGTTGTTGTGTGGCAGATGCTTGTCTGTTTGAATTCTAAAGTCCCAGAACACTTTTGCTTCTTCATTTTCTATTACTTTGTCTGTTTTATGGTCCCACCAGTTCTTCCTTGCAGGCAAATAGTATTTCTTGAAGATACTCCAATGCAACATTGTTGCTACTTTGTCATGCCATTGTATGTAGTCAGCCTGTGCAATCTTCTTGCAGCAGCTAACTAGATAGTCCACTGTTTCTTAGCTTCTTTGCAGAGGCAACATTTGCTGTCTGTTGCTGTTTTCTCAATTCTGTCTTTGTATGCATTTGTTCTTAAGGCTTGCTCCTGTGCAGGCAGAATTAGCCCCTCTGTTTTTTTCTTCAACTTTCCTGCTCTTAGCTATTGCCAGGTCTTCTTGTTATCTGCTTTGCCTGCTAGTTTTGTGTGTGCGTGTGGGTGTGCGTACTGGCCATGTAATACTTTGCCTTGCCATATCTCTTTCTATTTTTCATCTAGTCTTTCTTATAGGCCAGTTTGGTTTCTTTGGTATTCAGTAAGCCTTCATGGTGTACTAGCTTCACTGCCCTTCAGATATTCTTCAAAGGCCCTTTTTTCTTATTCAACTGTCTCGTGTACTTGTAACATTCCATGCCCACCTATGCTCCTTGGTAAGTAGAGTCTGTCAATGTTGCTGTGTGGATGAAGGGCATTCATCATTGTCATTATTTTTTTCTGGTCTTCCTATCGAGGGCTTTTAGTTCAGCTTGAGTCCAGTCGACTATTCCAGCTGTGTTTCTAATGACTGGAATTGCCTGGTGTTAATTGCCTTGATGGTATTTCCGCCACTGAATTTGGACTTTAAGATCTTCTTCACTGTTCTGATGTATTCACTAGTAACCTTCTTCTTGATTTCAGTGTGCTTCATGTTGTCAGCCTGAAGGTATTTGTATTTGTAGGGATCTTCTTCATCCAGACTCTTGATGTTATTTCCATTGGGCATTTTGATTCCTTCAGTTTTCATTATTTTTGTCTGTGGATGGTAAAGGTGGCACATTTGTCCAGTCCAAACTCCACTGCAATATCGTGGCTGTATATTCGGACAGTGTTCAGCAGCGATTCTGTTTCAGATGGTGTTTTTCCATACAGCTTCAGATCGTCCATGCAAAGGATGTGGGATAACCTGGCAGATGTTTCTGATGTTTGATAACCATGGGCTAACATCTGGCAAACCCTACCTCATAATGAAAGATCCAACAAAAGGGGCAGCACCAGGCAACTACAGGCCAGTTACCTCCTTGCCAATACCTTTCAAATTGCTAACTGGTGTGGTAGCTGATGCAGTCCAACAGCACCTAGTTGAAAACAAACTCTTTCCATCTGAGCAGGAAAAAAACCACTGTTGACAGAGGAATCAATGCAATGACAAACAGTAGTGATGGTAGCGAGTCTCCTTGGAAGATTCTTCTCTTGATGTTAACCTCTCCTAGTCTATCACCATTGACCAGCAACTGTGTCTTCCACTGTGCCATTGTTCTTTGCACAAAGCTTGTGATGTTTCCATTGACTTCTGTTATTTCTAGGCACTTGATTATCTAGTCATGTGGCAGGGAGTGGAATGCCTTCTTGTAATAAATCCAAGCTACATTCAAGTTGGTCTTCCTTCTCTTATAGTTTTCCAAAAACATCTTGTCAATTAGGAGCTGATCTTTTGTTCCTCTGCTGTTTGG